TTCTCCCACTAACCTGTGTTTTGTCAGTTACGTTTTCACGCTCCCAGTCTCTGAACCTTAGAGAGTTGGGGCAAAGATTTCCTCACCAGTATCAATGTAAAGTGTGTGTGGCCTTCCACTTTCTTCCCATTAGCCAAAGTAGGGAGTTTTTTCCACATCCAAGTGCCTAGGGCAGGGGTAGAGAAAGACGGAGGAAGACGGAACGGTGAGAATGCCGAAAAAATCATCTCTTCTCCTTCAGTAGGTGATATGGTTTGGCTGTGTTCCCACCTAAAACTCATCTTGAATTGTAGCTCCCATAACTCTCATATGTGGTGGGAGGGACCCGGTGGGAGGCAAATGAATCATGGGAGCGGTTTCTCCCATATTGTTCTCATGATAGTGAGGAAGTATCAAGAGGTCTGATGGTGTTACAAGTGGAAACCCCTCTCCCCTGATTCTCATTCTCTTCTCTTGTCTGCCACCATGTGAGATGTGCCTCTCACCTTCCGCCATGATTGTGAGGCCTCCCCAGCCATGTAGAACTGAGTCCATTTAACCCTTTGCTACTTATGAATTACCCAGTCATGGGTATGTCTTTCTCAGCAGCATGAAAATGGACTAATATGGTGGTTAAAAGTTGAGAAAAATCAAAATAGATTTTGAGTCAAAAAGAAAAACAGACTGAAGGAGCCAACCCTGGTGCAACCATCAGTTCGTAACTATCAGCTCAGCTCAAGCAGGAGGATGTCATGATGGTCTAAGTTCCAACATTCACCCTCAAAATCACCCTATGAGACCTTTTAACAAAATCTTGTGAGACAGTGACAGGGGTGTGGGAGCAGCGGACGGGGTTCTGGTTCTTCGAGCTGAACTCACACCCTCGAATGCTGAAGGAAGAATTAAAAGAGAAAGGAAGCAGTGACTCTGAGAACCATGCAGAAACAGGGAAGCTTTGCAGGCTGTGCAAAAAACTCTCTTCTCGTCAGCAATAGTGAGTTACAGTTCTCAGTTCCTGCAGAACAAAGCTCTCACTTCATTGATCTCATTCTTAGTCATTAGACACCAGAGTCGGGAGAAGGGGTCACAGGTTTTCAGTCTAAGGACACCCAACTCCTCAGAAGTTTCTTTCTTCCTTCTTGCCTTTGAGTAACGGAAACTCTGCGCAATATGTGGGAAGTGTATGTTTATTCCAGGGGACTGCTGCTCCTCCTGAACGTCCTAAACTGGATTGTTTGAATCAGATCCGCCACACCATGAACCGATGAATTCAGGTATATACACATACATACAGAAATGCAGTCTTCTCTTCAAATAGACTGGTTCATCCCCTGGCTTAATGCAAAGTTCACCTCATATATTTTCAGGACAGCAAACTACACACACTTAGGCAAAGTAAACAAAAATTAAGAAATTACCAAACGAAACCTTTTATGGCAAAGTTTCTCAGTTTGGGAATCCTTTTTCTACATAAATCACTTTATAGCCAAATATTACCTGTGACAGTTCATAAGACACAGGCTTGCATAAAAGGATAAAAGTTAATGTCAAATAAGCAAAAGCACACACAAAATTAACCACTGCTTACTAAAAAAAAAAAAAAAAAAAAAGCAAAAAAAGCAACCACAACATTTCTACACAGCTGAGCATGACCCACCTAACAGTGAAGATTTGATTTTATTTCCTGGCCTCTGATAAGTGACAGTGAGCTCTAACTCACATGAAATCACACCAGGATATTTTCTCTTTAAATATTCTGAATAACCATTAACAGAGGACTGGAAAAACTTTTAAGCTTCTGCCTGGCTTTTATAAAGATGATCACAAAAGCCATTCAAAGAAGAGTTAAGACAGTCTTTTTATTTTCCCTCAAGAATATTTCCCACAAGAAGATTCTGTAACATGTTGAAAAACATATTTAAATGTCTCTAGATGCAGAGAGGTAGAGGGCATTTTTTTCTTATCCCCCCCTAAGATATAGCCTAAATTCCCCCACTCATGTAATTCAAAATAATGTAAGTAAATTGAGCATACTTAAATTCATTGGCAAGAAGGACATTTTCTCTTCCAGAACAGAAATGAACTACATGAGAAGCCATTTTTTTTTTCCCTTGGCACAAAAGCTAGCATATTTTTGCTTTTCAATACATGTTGAGGGTAATGATAGACTCCTCACAAGTTCAAATATTGCAATAATTCCTTTCATTCTATAAAAGGTATGGTTGTTGGATAAATAGGGGAAAAATCACCAAGAGACAATTGTAGGTAATAGCGTAATTTTTCATTATATTTACAAGTTAAAACCTTTACAAAGGCACCTTCATCCTCTCAAGTAAATGGGTCTTTACTCTTAGGAAGTGGAAAAAAACAACCAGAAATCCTAGATGCCAAATGAGAGCAAAATCACACTGACCTATGGATGATCTCACATCCTCTCTTCCTGAAAAAACTCTTTACAATTATATAAAACAGCTCCCATAACCAACCAAGAGGACTGTCATACATACCTATATGTATGACATATATATATGTTATTTTGCATGTGTTTGCACTCGTTTTCATGTTACCAAGTCGATCAGACCTTTTTATTAAATCCAGCCTGATACAATCAAAACAGACATGGCGAAACCTGGCTCTGCTGAATTGTAAAAGCAGCATATTACCTATTATATCAAATGTGACAGGAAGTTCCACAGCAACATCTTACACAGCAACTTATAATGAGAAAACGTCTGTCTGAACAGTGTGTATATATATGTATATACAATATATGTGTGTGTATGTGTATATATGTCATTATATATGCTATAATGACATATATATACATATATACACACATATATTATACATACATATATATATATATACACACACCTATCTATCTATCTATCGATATATATATATATATATATATATATATATATATATATATATAAAATGTATTTTATTTGTTGTAAAGACAGGGTCTTACTATGTTGTCCAGGCTGGTTTCAAACTCCTGGGCTCAAGTGATCTGCCTGCCTCAGCTTCCCAAAGTACATGGATTACGGGCATGAGCCCCTTTGCCTGGTCTGGACCAAATGTTTTGAATGCAGGTCTCTCTTCTTATATGTTAATTTATTCATGACAGAAAACATGTCTGCCTTTCAGCCATTTGGGAAGATGCCAGCTCTTTCTCTCCTCCCATTTGCACCAAAGAAAACAGCAAAGTTGTCAAGATCTAAAAAGTTGTCATTTTACATCAGAAGGAAAGAGGTGACTCAACACACAGTATCAGAGCAGGAAAGCTCCCGCTGACTGTAAAGCTGTCATCATTAGCAGCTGCTTTGAGACGCTACTATGATCTAGCACAGTTGAAACCCCGTTCAGACAGACATTTTCTCATTATAAGTTGCTGTGTAAGATGTTGCTGTGGAACTTTCTGTCACATTTGATATAATAGGTAATATGCTGCCTTTACAATTCAGCAGAGCCAGGTTTCACCATGTCTGTTTTGATTGTATCAGGCTGGATTTAATAAAAAGCTCTGATCAACTTGGTAACTTGAAAACAAGTGCAAACACATGCAAAATGAACTCCCCCTCTCTGTGGATCTGGAGGGAGTTTCTGGCATATTTAGAGGCAGGGGACATTTTAACAGGAGCTAAGATTTTTGTACTTTTATTGTACCTATGTCCATTAGGTGTACGTGGACTGTACTGAACTCTGCAGAAATGTTTGCAAATACGAAGGATTTCTTGCTCATGTTTTTTGCCCCCAATACTACTACAACCTTGTAAGAAAATGTTCCACTACTCCCAATGATCTCTTTAAATAAAGTAGAAAAATATGAAATATTAGAAAAAAATTGTTTTTCTCTGAGCTATAGGTGAAGCTCACTTAAATATTTCTTGAGAAAGAAGGAAATGCAATATAGTAGCATCTTTCATCGGCCTGCCATTTTCTGCAAATAAACCCGCTTCTTATCTACATATACTCTCTTACGCTTTTGTGATCTGGCAGAGTATGATTAGTCCATAAATGACTTTTACTGAATCTAAAACCCCAGCATTGTTCAAAAATGACACCAGGAATGCTAAGTGGATGGTTGGCAATGAATGCTGAGGGCCAGCACAATCTCTAAACATCTTCATTCAGTACTAGCATAAGTTAATACAGAGGAAAATATTACTGGTCAGACAAATTACTTAATATTTCTCAATTTTCACTATGAATAGGGCGGGTGCCTTCTCTAAAGGAGGCTTGGAGATCCTCTAGACATTAAAAAGTGGTTTACTCTTTTTAAAAACCATCATTTCTCATATGTTACATCCAAATGACTATTAAGAAGCCAACTATTAAAACCTACTATTTGAAACCCATAGATGAACATTAAAAGTCCTCTCAAGCACTCTAAACAATTATTCGACATAAAATTATCTTAGAAATAGACCTTTCTCTATGTACCTAAACAACCAAGTTCAAGCACATTGATACAGTTCCTACTCTCAATTTCAGAGGTCATGACATTTAAAGCAAAGCAAAAATGTCACCTTTCCAATTAGCCTATTTCCAAACAAAAGAAAGCTACCTGACTCCATGCCAACCGTGATTTCACTGCCATTTACTTAACCCAGACCAAACATGCCTTGCATTTGCATTTAGCATAGTCATTATAACATCAAAACTGAAGAGCTGTTTATGAACATAGTGTAATAATGATAAGGGATATCCTCTTTATAATTTCCCCCTTTTGCTCAAATAATCTATTGGTCCTGAAACGTACCAAGTTTTTATGCTGCATGTTTAACATAATAAAGTATTAGGCACATCTCTATTTCACCTTAGGAATCCTAAGGCTTAAGCCAACACTGGACAGCAAAAACACCAAGAAATCTACATGTCGTCCATAGAAATGCAGAATGAACATCCTTCAGTTTGTTCCATTTCTCAGGGCTGTGTCACAAAGAGAAGTGACAAGTTTCAAAGGAGCGGGCAAAGTATTACGAAAACCCTTGCTTTCCAGAACTGAAAACACTTACTTGGCTTTCAACGTCTCCTCCTGAAAATTCCAGTGGGGATCTTCTACCAGCTGTAATTCTCTTAATACCCTTCCAGGCTTGTAGGCTGCGTTGATTATCATGCTAAGGACCTTTTGGGGGGGAAAATTAGGCAGAATGAGCTGCAATTGCATTCATTCCTACAAACACGAGGACGCTTTGAAAACCACACCAGTGACAATTAGGAAGAGCTCGCCATTATCCCCACATTAAATGAAGAACTGTGATTAAGTCTGATAGAACACTTCCCAGGCTCACACTGAGTTGTTTCACCCTCCAGGGACAAAAAGAGCGGTAAAATCCAAACTGTCTGGCTAGAAAAGTGTGAACCTCTCTCTCGACGGGGTGGCAGACTCCCATCAACTCTTTTAGTTGCAGAAAAGCTGAACCATTTTCACCAAAGAGCAATTTATTGTACTTCAACAAGATGACTCTTCAGTTGGATAGGCTACTGAGCATTTCTTCTATTTTTAAAGATTTCATAAGGAACCAATGAAATGGAGACAACTCACTCATGAAACACTGCTGGAGAGGCTTCAGATGCTTGCAAGGAGGGTAACAAGTTGTGTGAAACTCCCCTCTTGCAGGCTCAATTCATGGACATTTGATACTAGGGCAACCTTCTGACATGTGAATATGTATATATTTTTATTATACTTTAAGTTCTGGGGTACACATGCAGATCTTGCAGGATTGTCATACATGCCATGGTGGTTTGCTGCCTCTATCCCCCTGATACCTACATTAGGTATGTCTCCCTAATGTTATCCCTCCCCAACCTCCCCACCCCCTGCTATTGCCCCCCTAACCCTCAAACCCCCCAACAGACCCCAGTGTATAATGTTCCCCTCCCTGTGTCCATGTGTTCTCAATGTTCAACACTCACTTATGAGTGAGAACATGTGGTGTTTGGTTTTCTGTTCTTGTGTCAGTTTGCTGAGAATGATGGTTTCCAGTTTCATCCATGTCCCTGCAAAGGACATGAACTCATCCTTTTTTATGGCTGTATAGTACTCCATGGTGTATATGTGCCACATTTTCTTTATTCAGTCTATCCTTGATGGGCATCTGGGTTGGTACCAAGTGTTTGCTATTATAAGCAGTGCTGCATTTAACATATGTGTGCATGTGTCTTCCTAATAGAACAATTTATAATCCTTTGGGTATATACCCAGTAATGGGATTGCTGGGTCAAATGGTATTTCTATTTCTAGACCCTTGAGGAATCTCCACACTATCTTCCACAATGGTTGCATTAATTTGCACTCCCAAAAACAGTGTAAAAATGTTCCTATTTCTCCACATCCTCTCCAGCATCTGTTGTCTCCAGATTTTTTAATGATCACTATTCTAACTGGTGTAAGATGGTATCTCAATGTAGTTTTGATTTGCATGAAATGTGAATATTTTAAAAGGAAGTCTGGAACACCCAATGCCATCCAATATCGTATTTCCTTGATCCACCCCTCACTCCCAAGTCCAAGAAAACGAGCATGTGTATACCACAGGGTTTCGAAAGAGCAGGCCTTTCAGAGAGTCCCAACTGCTGACCTGGGGAGATAAAATGCTCCTGTTAACCTCAATGAGCTTCTCTAATGAAAAGGGTGAGGACCTCAGAGACCAAAGCTGCTCACCTTTCAAAAAGCAAATCATCATTAATGGTGAACCCTGATGTGTTCTGACACATTTCTGGGCTGCCGCTATTTGGATAGAGACCTTACAGAGAATGTGGGAGTGCAAAGCAGAGGCCTATGGTATGGAGTTCCATGAAATGACTCTCTGTGAAGCTCCACTGGGTGAGAGGTAGCAGGAACAAGACAGGAGGAGCACGCAGTGCTCATATCTCCTGCAGGCTGTCCCAGTGCAGAAGTTGGAAGGACTGCGCCAGGCATGGAGCTCACATTTTAGATTTTAGAGCAAAATACCATTGAGAAAGCAAGAAAAATAGCTGAGTGAGATGGGAGACTGGCATTAGTGCCTAAACACCTACTATTTTTTAATGGAGACTATCACAAAATAAATGGAAGGAGACGGGAGAATGTGGCTGGAATTTGGATGTCACAGTTTTCATGGGTCTGCCATGTTCTGGAATGTGACCAGCTTGGTTCGTACCCTGATTTACTTCTGAAAACAACAAGTTTTTCTCAAGTTATAACTAAGGATTTGCTCTTGAAATACTTTACACTATGCAGTCAGCCCAGCAACTGCCTTTTCTTTGCCTGGGTAACATTTTGCTATGTTTCAAGGGCCTCAAAACCACCCACCAAGAGAATGTGGCTTGCCAAGGTGCTAAAAAGCCATGACAAGGCAGTACCAGCAGTTCTGTTGTGTTTGTGTTTTCTGTATTCGAATAATCATCTGATTTTATTGTTTGCTGTCAGTACAATTTACAGAAACTCAGTTTAAAAATAAATTTAATTAGAACTGACTGCAATAATGTACACAGTGTTTATCAACAGACAATAAAATTTCAACAGATTCTTTTCATTGAGTTTTGCAGAAAAAACCCCAGAGCTACACATTATTTGCTGCATATCGAGATGCATTTTGTGACTGTGAAAAGAAAATGCCTTCTGGAGTTCAATTCAGCCTGGGAGCAGGCAGCAATTAAATTATAAAAAGCATCTGATATTGAATGTTTTTCCCTTGGCTTTTCTCGATGCCACCTCATCCGTCTCCAAATTCAACAAGCTCTCTATAAAACTTTGTAATTGTAAGCCGAATAATTTCTGTGCACATGACAATGTAATGTATTATAGTTACCTAATGAAAACAACTAAGTGGACAACTGTTATGACTAGCCACAGTTAGACTGAATTATTGTGCTTTGCAAAACACTGGAGTTTAGTTCATTATGTTCTTGATCAGAGAGGGTAGCAGGGAACCTGTCCCCCCAAACTAACAGGAGCTTAGGTGTCTCTCATCTTCCTCCACTGATATGGTTTGGCTGTGACCCCACCCAAATCTCATCTTGAATTATAGCTCCCATAATTCCCATGTGTGGTGGTAGGGACCCTGTGGGAGGTAACTGAATCGTAGGGCCAGTTTCCCCCATACTGTTCCCGTGGTAGTGAATAAGCCTCGTGAGATCTGATGGTTTTATAAGGGGCTCCCTGTTTGCTTAGCTCCCATTGTGCCTTGCCTGCCACCAGGTAAGACGTGCCTTTTGCCTTCCGCCATCCCCTGCCACATGGAACTGTGGTCCATTAAACCTCTTTTCTTTTATAAATTGCCCAGTCTCAGATATGTCTTTATCAGCAGTGTAAAAATGGACTAATAAATCCACCCACCTCATTTCTCAGCTCTTTTACAGTAAAATCCTTAAGAAGAGGTCTACACTCACCAACACCTCTTTCTCTTCTTCAGTTCTTTCTGGAACCCAGTCCAATGGGGCTTTCTGTGTCCACTATGTCCCTGAAACTACCTTATCCAGATGCCTGGTGAGGACACATGGCTGAAGGCTGGGTAGCTCTGGTTCTATTCTTACTCTGCCAGCAGGGGCTTCCCTGCCTTTCACCCCACCTTTTGAGAGCCTCACCTTCCAACAATGGCCAGGGTAATCCTTTAAACCACAGGTCAGAGGAGGCCTTTCCTCTGCTCTCTTCTTCACTTAGGATTGTTCTCCCTGGGGAAATCCTTCCAGCCCATCTGTCCCCATCCGGGTCTTTACTTCAAAGTCTGTATCAGAGAGGGCTCTGCTGAGCATCCTCTGTACACAGAACATTGCTCCCTTCATTCTCTGGCCTCTCATGGATGGCTTATTATTAATATAGAAGTATTTTTTTATTGGTTGATTTGTTCAACATCCACCCCTACTATAACATAAGCAGCAGGAAATCAGGAACTTCATTCTGTTTGCTGCTGTATCTATGGCAGATAGAACTATAACTGGCAAGAACAGGTGCTCAATAGATATTTTTTGAATTAGTTCAATAATCTCAAGGCCGGTGGCTCAAGCCTGTAATCCCAGCACTTTGGGAGGCCGAGGTGGGTGGATCACGAGGTCGAGAGATCGAGACCATCCTGGTCAACATGGTGAAACCCCGTCTCTACTAAAAATACAAAAAATTAGCTGGGCATGGTGGCGCGTGCCTGTAATCCCAGCTACTCAGGAGGCTGAGGCAGGAGAATTGCCTGAACCCAGGAGGCGGAGGCTGTGGTGAGCCGAGATCGCACCATTGCACTCCAGCCTGGGTAACAAGAGCAAAACTCCGTCTAAAAAAAAAAAATTATTCTATTCATCTAAAAACTTTAACGAATTCACTCCACGTGTTTGATACCATACAATCTATGTGAACGGAGGGTCAGGAATTATCATTTGCTATTGCTTTTCATTGCTACAAAATCTTATGCTATGCTATGATGAGAAAGTACACCAAATGTATCTTGTCTTCTCTGTGGGAAAATAATAAAGAAAAGCCTTATGAGCCAAAAAATTGTGCACCTTTCCTTTGCCAACCTTCCCTCTGCACACTATGTGAGTGTGTTAAAGTTTATATCCGCCCACAAGCTTGGTACATTATTCTTAGTGGGTGAACTAACCTTCAGCATAAATTTAAAACAGCTGCAACAAAAACACAACAGAGTATCTTCAAGAGGCCTGTCTGCATCTGTCTTTGATTACGAGGACCAACTTCACTGGTGTCAGCTGGGTAAGACATTCCCTCTGTCCACTATCACTTGGAAATGTCCTTGATATGAGGCCATAATTTCCACTGCCTCAACACTCCCAGGATGCTACTGATAAACTTACGACTGCTTCGAAGAAGGAAAGCTCTTCTCCCACTGTGAAGTTTATGAAGAGTGAAGGCTGCCTGGGGCAGCCGACATTCAGGTTTCTCACCAGAAAGCTTTCTAGTTTGTAGGTACTAAAGTTGTTGTGAGTGATTGCCCAGGACAAATGCTCAGAGCTACACAATGAAAGAGACATTCAAACAGCACACCACAGACTCCCCAAACGTGAGAGCTAAACACTCCACACAAAAAGACGGAGGAAAATCGCTTAATGAATCAACCACAGGGCAGAACTCTAAACAGTAAATAAGAGCTGAGACCAAATCCCAAACTGCCAGACCCCACCAAAACTGCAGGT